AAAAGAAGGGGGGGGGGGGAGGAGGGGGGGGGGGGGGGGGGGGGAAGGAAGGGATGTAGGAGGGGAAAAAAAGGGGAGAGGGAAGGAAGGAGGGAGGGAAAGAAGGGAAAAAATGAAGGGAGAGAAAGACGGAAGGAAGGAGAGGAGGGGAAAGGGAAGGGAGGCAAAAAGGGAAAGAAGGGAGAGAAAAGGGGAAGGAGGGAGGAAAATAGGGAGGTAAAAAATGCATGAAGAAGGGAGGGAAAAATGGGAGGGAAAGGAAGGAGAGGGAAAGAAAGAATGATGGATGGATGGAAAGAAGGAGGGAGGGAAAGAAGAAAGGATGGAGGGAAATAAGGAAGGAGGGGAAAAAAGGAATGAAAGCTGGAGGGAAGAATTTAGGAAGCTGGGAGGGGGAAATGGAAGGAAGGAGGGTGAAAAAAAAGGAAGGAGGGAGGGAAGGATTAAGGAAGGAAGGAAAAGGGAAGGAAGGAGTGAAAGAAAGAAGGAATGAGAGAAAGAACAAAGAAGGAATAAAGAAGAGAATGGAAGGAGGATGGGAAAGAAGGAAGGAGAGAGGGAGGGAAAAAGGGAAGGTAGGGAAAGAAGTCAGAAGGGAGGGAAACAAGGAAGGAGGAAAAAAGAAAGGAGGGAGGGAGGGAAAGAAGGAAGGAAAGGAGGAGTGTGGGAAAGAAGAGAGGAGGGTGGGAAAGAAGAAAGGCGGTAGGGAGGGAAACAAGGACAGAAGGAAGGAAGGAAGGGAGAGAAAAAAGGAAGGAAGGAATGAAGGCAGGAGGGAAAGGAGGAATGAAGAAGGGAGGGAAAAATGGGAGGAGGGTGGGAAAGAAGGAGAGAGGGAGGTAAAAAGGGAAGGAAAGAAGGCAGGGGGAAGGAACAAGGAAAGAAGACAGAATGGAGGGAAAGAAGGGAGGAGGGAGGGAGAGAAAAAAGGAAGGAGGGAAAGAAGGAATGAAGACGAGGGAAAAATGGAAGGGAGGAGGGTGGGAAAGAATGAAGGTAGGAGGGAATGAAGCAGGGAGGGGGGAAAGAAGGAAGGAGGGAAAGAAGGAATTAAGGCAGGAGGGAAAAATGAAAAAAAAAGAAAAGTTATGTATACATTTAAAAACATTTTTAAAGTGTTTTTTGATTGGACAGAGTGGGGGAGTGTAATGTTGTCTGCGTCCCCATTGGGCAGATTCACCCCTCTATTTGTACCGGTGACCACTGTCATCTAGAAAGTGATGGGAAACCCAAAATGTTAGCGTTGCCCCCTGAAGAGGTCTGGCATTTTTGTAAAGAGGACTTTTTCTTACTGTTGTCTCCCCCGCGCTCCGGCTTGTGGATTGTCCTTCGGCAACCTCACATATAAAGCAGCGCTATGAGCCTGGCATTGTATGTAATGATGTCATTGGGCCTCCAGCTGCTGGAACAGAGGGGGGAAAAGGCTGCAGGCTGCGATCTTGCAGCGGGGATCAGGTCCATTATACAATACCCCCAGACATAAATGAAGAGCGACCCCTTGGGCTTTCCCCGCACTGCAAGGGTTTAAAGGTGAAACAAATGCCCTTGCGGTGGGAGTCCCCCAGCACTGCAATGGTTAAATGATTGTGCATGTCTAGGGTACCAGGAACATGGTCTCCAGGGTCATGGACTCAAAGTACCCTTGGATCAGCCAAGGAACAAGCATTTTCAATAGAAGACACTGGCATCAGCAGCCTTTTCTAACTGGAGTTTTATTTTCAAGGGTAACTGCGGGCTGAGCACCGAACCTTCCATTATATAAAGCACTTAAAGGATTCCTCCATTGCACCCCAAGGAGGTGTCAGCGCATCGTCGATCCTTCTGGCCGACCTGCAGGTACGGCCCCTCCCACTCAGAAGGGATTCCCACCTGGATCCCTCCCAGGCAACGCCCTCTCCGTCCCAAGCGGCAGAGTTCTCTGGAACGCCCCGCCCCATCCGGAAAACGCACGCCCCCGTGATCACGTGAGGCCGCCGGGCTCTGGCTCACGGATTCGAGGTGGAGCCGAGTCGCCATTTTCCTCCAGCTCCCCGTCCTGTGTCACCTGTGCGGCGGTCGCCAGCGCCGGGAATAGCGGCGGTTGGGATCCGTCACCCTTCCTCCATGCTCGGGTGTGCGGCTGGTCTGATCACACCGGATCCCCTCCAGACCTGATCCACTCTCCGTGTCCCCTCATCGTCCCTCAACACCCCCCGAGCCGCCGCCATGTCCGGACAGAGCATCACCGACCGCATCACGGCGGCGCAGCACAGTGTCACCGGCTCCGCCGTCTCCAAAACCGTGTGCAAGGCCACCACCCACGAGGTCATGGGCCCCAAGAAGAAGCACCTGGACTGTGAGTGGCTGGGATGGGGGGGGGGTGACTGGTCTTACCTGTGTGCTGACTTGAGGGGCCCCGGGGGGCCCTAACCGTACACGTGTACCTCAGGATTCTGCCCTCCTGGGTGGTGTGTGCTAAGGGGGTCCTGAGGGGGCCAAGCATTGTATGTGTACATCAGTATCGCATCTGGGGCATGTGGTGTGATCACAAGGGCCCCTAGGGGGCTCTAAACTTGACACCATCAATGTCCCATAGCGAGAGAGGAGCTCCCGCTTGGCGACAAAGTGCCCCAGGTGCACGGAAGGGTCCTGTGTGATGATAGAGCGGCTCCTGGAGCATTGAGGGGTCCTATGTGGCGATGGAGGGTCCCCCTGGTGCACAGAAGGGTCCCGTGGTGATGGAGGGACCCCAGGTGCACGGAAGGGTCCTGCCTGGTGATGGAGGGGCCCCAGGTGCACGGAAGGGTCCTGCCTGGTGATGGAGGGGCCCCAGGTGCACCGAAAGGTCCTGCCTGGTGACGGAGGGGCTCCAGGTGCACGGAAGGGTCCTGCCTGGTGATGGAGGGTCCCCCTGGTGCACAGAAGGGTCCCGTGGTGATGGAGGGACCCCAGGTGCACGGAAGGGTCCTGCCTGGTGATGTAGGGTCCCCTAACCCTGCGTGGTGACGGAGGGGCCTCTGGTGCACGGAGGGGCCCCGCGTGGTGATGGAGGGGCCCCTGGTGCACTGAGTCCTGCTGTGTAAAGGGGTCCTGTATGGTGATGGAGGGGCCCCTGGTCCTTCTATTTGCGTTGTTTGAGCCACTTGAGGTTGGACCTGTATTTTGGAGTTCTTCCGTGCACCTGGGGCCCCTCCATCACCAGGCAGGACCCTTCCGTGCACCAGGGGACCCTACATTTTGTGGGTCCTGTGTGACACTTGAGGCACCTCGTTGCGTTGTCTTAGGACATGCTGATGTGACAGGTTTGGGGTGCTGGGGGCTCTTGTGTGATAACTGAGGGGACACAGATGTTGGCTGGTCTCTGAGGGGACATCAATGCCCCATGTTACCCCATGGGATGATTGAGAGGATTCAGATGTATTTGGCCCCGTATGACAGCCTAGGCTGCGGCATGAGGTCTCGGGTTTCTTCTGTAGTGAGCGGCCATATAGTGGGTTGGATAGCGTGTGCCATATGTCTCCAGTAGTGAGCGGCCATATAGTGGGTTGGATAGCGTGTGCCATATGTCTCCAGTAGTGAGCGGCCATATAGTGGGTTGGATAGCGTGTGCCATATGTCTCCAGTAGTGAGCGGCCATGTAGAGGGATGGATAGCGTGTGCCATAGGTCTTCTGTAGTGAGCGGCCATGTAGTGGGATGGATAGCGTGTCCTTAGGTCTCCTGTAGTGAGCAGTCATGTAGTGTGTTGGATAGCGTGTCCTTAGGCCTCCTGTAGTGAGCGTCCATGTAGTGTGTTGGATAGCGTGTCCTTAGGCCTCCTGTAGTGAGCGTCCATGTAGTGTGTTGGATAGCGTGTCCTTAGGTCTTCTGTAGTGAGCAGTCATGTAGTGTGTTGGATAGCGTGTCCTTAGGCCTCCTGTAGTGAGCGTCCATGTAGTGTGTTGGATAGCGTGTCCTTAGGTCTTCTGTAGTGAGCGTCCATGTAGTGTGTTGGATAGCGTGTCCTTAGGCCTCCTGTAGTGAGCGTCCATGTAGTGTGTTGGATAGCGTGTCCTTAGGCCTCCTGTAGTGAGCGGCCATGTAGAAGGATGGACAGTGTCCCGTAGCAATCATGTAGAAGTGTGCTATGTACAGGACAGGCATTTCGTGGTGTAAGCTCTGGGGGTGTCTGGCCTCCTCTGTGATGTGGGGGGTTTTCGGATACGTCTATGGCCGGCAGGTTGTAACATAAGTTGGCTCGGTTGCTGTGACGACTCGGTCATACTCTGGATATTGTGCAGGTATAATGCTGTGCTGTTGCTAGCTGGTCTCAGTCCTAACATATTAATGTCAAAGACGAACTTCAAGGAAAATCCTAAACTGTCCCTGCGGTGGCCAC